CATTATCTACTACCTCGAAGACTTTCCTAAAAAACGTCACCGGTTTGTAAGACAAGATTTTCCCTTTGTAAACCCATGTTGAGAGTCGTAGATTAATTTGCTTTTCTCTAAATGCGATCGGATGCTATCTGCTATTATTGATTCAAGAAATTTCCCCACTACTAATGTCAAATTGATCGGCCGGTAATTTGACGCTGATGCTCTGTCTCCCTTTTTGAATATGTGTACTACATTTGCCTGTTTCCACAAGACTGGCACAACTCCTGTGTCTAATGATTTTGTAAATAAATTTACGAGGGGTCCGCTAAGCTGTTCCCTACACTCTTTCAAGACTAGAGGGAAAATTTGATCCGACCCTGGGGATTTTGTCTTCTTTAGTTTATTTATCCTCTTAAGAACATCCTCTTTTCTGATAGTGATATTCTTTAATTTCTCTTCTTCCTTTTCCCTAAATATCAGTTCCACCTCTCGAATTTCCTCGCACATTTCTTCTGTGAAAACTGATAAACTGTTCAATGCTCTGCTTATTTCTCACTGCCATTTATCACTTCTCCCCTCCCTGACTTGAAAGGCCCAACTTTGTCCTTGACCTCTGTTCTATATACCTGGAAAAATCCCTTGGGATTCGCCTTGGATTCTCTTGCTATTTTTATTTCATAGTCTCTCTTTGCTTTCCTTACATTTTTCTTAACATTCCTAGATATGCCTTGTTACGTATTTCTCCTTAGTCTGTACTCACCCCTGAAGATGTGAATTACACGAAAGCGCTTGGGAACTTCGTGTTTTCCTGTGTCCTTGTGCTTATCAGCATATATCTGGATGACCCGCACCTAATGTGATTTACTTGCATATATATATATATATATATATATATATATATATATATATATATATATATATATATATATATATATATATATATATATATATATATATATATATATATATATTAGCAATCGAGGAATCGCCTCCCTCCGGGCGGCTCTTTCGCTAGGCCACGGTAGGACGCCACCCTCCGGGAGGCTCCACATTGTCTCACTGTAGTGCATTAAGGTAGACCACATTTTTGGTTTTGCCATTAGCAGCAAGTATGTACAGATTTTTGCCAGTTCCCACTCTGGAGCATCCAACATAGAACTGTCCATGAGAGAAGCAAGGAAACACCAGGTTTAGGCCAACCATCTTTAGGGACTGTCCCTGGCTTTTGTAGATGGTCATGGCAAAGCTCACTTTAACCGGGAACTGAAGTCGCTTGAACTCAAATGGCAGGTCAGTGGTGATGAGAGGTATCCTTGGTATAAACACGTCCTCTCCTTTAGCTTTTCCTGTCAGTATTGTAGCTTCCAGTACATGTGGCATCATGTTCTTCACCACCAGTCTTGTGCCATTGCAGAGGATTGGTGGTTCAAGATTTCTTAAGAGCATTATAGGAGTTCCAATCTTGAGAGTGAGGTGGTGAGGAGGCATTCCAGCGGGCTCCAAAGAATTAAGGAATTCTGCAGGGTACTGGACTGCTTGGTCCTGGTCGATTACTGTATCAACAGATTTGAATGAGGTCTCACTGCCTGGAAGCTGTCTGAGTAGAGTCATGTTGATTTCAGCCACTGTTTCATTCTTTGGTGCCAGAATTGCGCGTTCACGCAGCCACTTGTGATCCTTGTAGTGGTGGATAATGTTTGGGTAGACCATGTTAGTGAGCTCAGTTGAGGACTTTACAACATTTCCACATCCTTGAGGAATGATTATTTGTCCTTCTGAATCAACAGGGAAAGTTCCATTCCCAATCTGTAGTAGAAGGTTTGCAAACCGTCCAGCATCCTGATCTCCTTGTAGATGTACTCTCATGTTTGTGGATAGGGTGAGTGTCTGAACACTTCTCCAAAGGTATGATGCCTTGAGGCACGCATTCAGTTCATCAGCTGGAGTGCTTCGAGGAATGACAGGTAGGGTCTGGCGAAAGTCTCCAGCAATGACCATTGTAATGCCACCCATGAGCTGGTCATTTTCTCGTATGTCTTGCAAGGTCCTGTCCAATGCTTCAAACGCTAACTTGTGAGACATAGTGCATTCATCCCAGACTATGAGGCTGCATTTTTCTAAGAGTTTTGCCTTTGCCGATCCTTTTTTGATGTTGCACACTGGATTCTCATTGTGAGCGAGGTTGAGAGGCAGTTTAAAAGTTGAGTGTGCAGTACGTCCTCCTTCTAGTAGTGTTGCAGCAATGCCTGAGGATGCCACAGCAAGAGCAATTTTCCCCTGATGACGTACTTTGGCCAACAGAAGGTTGATCAGGAATGTTTTTCCTGTCCCGCCAGGTGCATCGAGAAAGATCATACCTCCCTGCTCCGCTTGTATCGCTTGCAAGATCTGTTCATAAGCATTTGCTTGATCAGGCACCAGGTGAGGCTCATTTTCTCATTAACTCAATCAAGATTAGGAGGTCTATATATACTCCTGTGATGAATTTTTCCCTACTATCGATTAATTCTTTCCAAATTGTTTCTGTATTCTGCTCCCAGTTTTGATTTCCTTATTTATTTCACACTTCAGATTATCCCTGACATAGATTGCTACTCCGCCTCCTTTCCTAATCTGCCTATCGGTATGGAATAATTTGTAACCTGCAATTTGGTATTCGACAGGTAACTCACGTGAGTCTAGGTTTATCCATGTTTCGGTGAATGCTATTATATCGAATTTTTTCGGTACATACCAAAGTAAGCCTCATGCTCGTACAGCAATTGAGTAGCTGCTACCTCTTCTATTGTGTCATTCAGTGACCATCATCTTCCAGTAGGCCAAGAGATTTTACGCTTCTGTGGGTTCTGCAGACTGTCCATTCACTGTCTTGTTCTGCGCCATGATGTTGGGCCACGGATGTGATGCAAAAAATAGTCTTCAAACAATAACATTCAAAGTTGTTGGGATGAACCGTGTGGAGCACATCTCAAGCATTGCCTGAGTTTATCCTGTATCAGCCAACATCGGATCCTTGAGCTCTTCTCTGGAACTTTTTCCATTGAAACTGCCATATGTAGAACTTGGGTAAATCAACACCTGGGGTATTTGGGGCAGCTCACTCTTCCTGCTGAAAGCTTAAAAGTCCAGTAGGAAGTCGTATCAGCATAGGATTTGCCATTTGATTTGAGGACTCTTCTCTGAAGTAACTCACTTTGATATTCCATTTCCAGAGTGAACAGCCAGATGAATACTGTTGGACATCGTTCGTGTCATGGGAAAATTAAAAAATTCTCCCATACAGCTTCAATATTGTATATAACGGCCCTGCTGAAACTTGTCACCTCATCTGAGTTTCCATCTTTTTCCAATGCAAAGATCACTTGGTCAGGCCATCATCATTACATATAACATCATCCATCATCACTGCATATAACACCATCTATCATCACAATATATAACACCACCCATCATCACTACATATAACACCACCCATCATCATTACATATAACATCGTCCATCATCACTACATATAACACCATCCATCATCACTACATATAACACCATCTATCATCACTACATATAACACCATCCATCATCACTACATATAACAACATCCATCATCACTACATATAACATCATCCATCATCATTACATATAACACCATCCATCATCATCACTACATATAACACCATCCATCTCCAGATCGGTAAAGTACTTTCCGAGATTCTGGTGAGGACACACACACACACACAGACATACTTCTTGTTTTATATATATATATATATATATATATATATATATATATATATATATATATATATATATATATATATATATATATATATATATAACCATATTTATCTATTCAACTACTAGAGTGACTAGAATTTACTGAGAGTAAAGGTCGTGTAGACGGGAGCCCCCTGTGAGTTGCCAGACTCTCACAGCATCCGAGACTTGGTGAAGGTGTCGTGGCTAGAGAGACGTAACCCGCAAGCTTGAGCATCGAGTATGTGTGTGGTAGGATGCGGTGTATGTGTTTACCTGCGTTGAGCTCTTCCTCTCTTATTTCTCTCTCTCTTCTTTCACAATCTGTTTCTTTATTTTTGTTCGTGAAAAGTGTGAAACATGGATAATACTTCGTTTTTTCTGGAATTTAGCCTATTACCTTGTGTTCGTTATCCCAATTCACTCATTTTAAAGTCTGCTCTTCAAGGCCAATAAACTAATTAAGCGGTTTTTGGTGCAGCTACAGTATGTGTGAGTTAGAAGCTCGGTTAGAAGACGTGATAACAATATATATAATATTCTTCGTCCACAGGGAGAGAGACGAAATAAAAACAAATACGACAGGGTCCAGCGATTATATGTAAATAATACATTTATGAAAATCATGATAGTATTAAGTACAGAAATAACATAATTGTAAAGAAAATAATTGTATACATAGTACGCATTATGAATAAACAAGAAAAAAACATGTACAAAAAAGTTTAATTGGCTTTCACTCGTATATCCCGGCCACACAAGAAAAGATGGAGAGAAAATGAAAGAAACAATTATGAATTACAAGATAACGAGGTTTGTATCCTTGCAGCCCCAAACGCCTGCCACCTAAGACCTGCCATCCATCACCTGCCACCCAACACCTGTCACCCAACACCTGCCACCCAACACTTGTCACCCAACACCTGCCACCCAACCCCTACAACCCAACACCTGCCACCCAACACCTGCACCCAACACTCACCTTGCACCCCAACACCTGCCACCCATACACCAGCCACCCAACACCTGCCACAACACCCAGCCACCCAACGTTTGCCACCACACACCTGCCATCCAACACCTGCCATCACAAACTTACCACCCAACACTTGCCACCACAAACCTACCACCCAACGGTTGTCACCACACACCTGCCACCTCACACCTGCCACCCAACACCTGCCACCCATCACCTGCTACCAACACCATTTTTCATCCATGAAGAATTCTCACTATTTTTTCTAAACCTTAATCCCGCTAACAAGCCGGATTTAGGACGTAAGGGAAAAAGACATAAATCTCCGTAGAGCTGGATTTTTATAGCGAACTGTGGAGGTGGAAGCCTGAAACTGCGGGACTGTGGAAGTGGAGGCCTGAAACTGTGGGACTGTGGAAGTGGAGGCCTGAAGCTGTGGGACTGTGGAGGTGGAGGCCTGAAACTGTGGGACTGTGGGACTGTGGGTGGAGGTCCTGAAACTGTGGGACTGTGGAGGTGGAGGCCTGTGTGACTGTGTGGAGGCTGAAACTGGGACTGTGGAGGTGGAGGCCTGAAAGCTGTGAGACTGTGGAGGGAGGCCTGGCTGTGGGACTGTGGAATTTAGGTCTGAAACTGTGGGAATGTGGAGGTGGAGGCCTGAAGCTGTGGGACTGTGGGGTGGAGGTCTGAAGCTGTATGACTGTGGAGATTTGGGTCTGAAGCTGTGGGACTGTGGAGGTGGAGGCCTGAAACTGTGGGACTGTGGAGGTGGGCCTGAAACTATGTGACTGTGGAGGTGGAGGCCTGAAACTGTGGGAGGTGGAGGTGGAGGTCTGAAGCTGTGAGACTGTGGAGGTGGAGGCCTGAAGCTGTGGGACTGTGGAGATTTAGGGTCTGAAACTGTGGGACTGTGCAGGTGGAGGCCTGAAACTGTGACTGTGGAGGTGGAGGCCTGAAGCTGTGGGACTGTGGAGATTTAGGTCTGAAACTGTGGGACTGGGACTGTGGGACTGTGGGAAGTGTGGGACTGTGGAAGTGGAGACCTGAAGCTGTGAGACTGTGGAGGTGGAGGCCTGAAACTGTGTGACTGTGGAGGTGGGGGCCTGAAGCTGTGGGACTGTGGGGGTCTGAAACTGTGGGACTGTGGGAAGTGGGGCCTGAAGCTGTGGGACTGTGGAGGTGGAGGCCTAAAGCTATGGGACTGTGGAGATTTAGGCCTAAAACTGTGGAGGTCTGAAGCTGTGGGACTGTGGAGGTGGAGGCCTGAAGCTATGGGACTATGGAGATGTAGGCCTGAACTGTGGGACTGTGGAGGTGGAGGCCCTGAAGTTGCAGAACTGTGAGGGTGGCCTGCAGCTGCTGTGGAGTTTGAGGTCTGTGGGACTGTGGGGTCTGAAGCTGTGGACTGTGTGGGACCTGTGGGACTGTGGAGCTGTGGGACTGTGGAGGTGAAGGACTGAAGCTGTGGACAGTGTGGAAACTATGGGACTGTGGAGGTGAAGGACTGAAGCTGTGGGACTGTGGAGGTGAAGGACTAAAGTTGTGGGACTGTGGAGGTTGTGGGACTGTGGGACTGTTGGAGGTGAAGGGTTGAAGCTGTGGGACTGTGGAGGTGAAGGACTGAAGCTGTGGGACTGTGGAGGTGGGGACTGAAGCTGTGGGACTGTGGGGACTGAGGTGAAGGACTGACCTGTGGGACTGTGGAGGTGAAGGACTGAAGCTGTGGGACTGTGGAGGTGAAGGACTGAAGCTGTGGGACTGTGGAGGTGAAGGACTGAAGCTGTGGGACTATGGAGGTGAAAGACTGAAGCTGTGGGGCAGTGGAGGTGAAGAATTGAAACTGTGGGACTGTGGAGGTGGAGGCCTGAAACTGTGGGAACTGTGGGGGTCTAGGTCTGAAACTGTGGGACTGTTTAGGTCGATGTATGAAGCTGTGAAACTGTGGAGGTCTAGGTCTGAAACTGTGGGACTGTGGAGGTCGATGTATGAAGCTGTGGAACTGTGGAGGTCTTGGTCTGAAGCTGTGGGACTGTGGAGATGATCGATTGAAGTTGTGGGACTGTCGAGATGGAGGCCTGATATTTTGGGATTGTGGAGGTGGAGGGTTGAAGCTGAGAGTATGCGACTGATGCTGAATGGATTGACTGTCAAGAGAGTAAAGTTAACATCAAGGAGACCGTGAGTGTAGTGTAGTGTAGTGTAGTGTAGTGTAGTGTAGTGTAGTGTAGTGTAGTGTAGTGTGGTGTAGTGTGGTGTAGTGTGGTGTAGTGTAGTGTGGTGTGGTGTAGTGTAGTGTACTGTAGTGTATGGCGACCTGTGTTGTAATGGTGATGCAAGCGAGCGGACCCGGGTTCGATCCCCGGGCAGTGTGAAATTATGGGCAAATTTCTTGACGCCATTTGCCTCTGTCTATCCAGCAGTAATTGGGAACCTGGATGTTAATCGATTTGCGGATCGTGTTTCGGGGAAATGGTTAGCCAGTGCAGTTGGCGAGTTGTCCGGTTTTCTCAGGCTATTCCTTGACACTGGGTCATACAACTCGTTAACTCAGGGTGTGGTTGTTGTGTTGGCGACAGCATTTACACCTTAAACAAATTCACGCTTAGGTGGCCCTTGGGCCGGCCATCCTCGTTACACGAAGTGGCAACCATTATTATTATATTTTTTAGTGTAGTGTAGTGTAGTGTAGTGTAGTGTAGTGTAATGGGTCAGTAGAATATCGAATCACTATGTATATTACCGTCCATGACCTAATTACTGACTTGTATAGTCCGAACTGACCAGGGCGACAACAACTAAAGGCCCTACGAATGAGTAGGAGGTTGAAAAATACATGGTTAACCTCAGGGGTATCATTAGGGCTCCTCAACTGACGGTGTCCACTATTTTCGAAACTCGACGAAGGTCCTCTCGGTGCTTGTCAGGTCTCCTAGAGCGTAAATCCGTAAGAATACGTAAGAGGGCAGGAGGTTAACAGTGTTTGACTCTATATTATTTAGTCAATCAAAAGTACTGCTGAAGGATAGCCACCATGTTTTATTCTAGTACTTGATACTATACAATTGGCCTTAAATTATACTTGATCTGAATCGTCCCAAAGACTGTCTAGGTGTTTATACAGTATTATCGACTAAAACTTATTTTGTATTGCATTTTGTCAAAATTTTTGTGTTTGTATAAAACTGATTCAAAACACTACGTATAACTTCGTCTTAGAAAGCTATGTTTACGAATCTCATAAAACAGTATGTGTATATTGTTGTCTCAAAACACTCTGTATATCATTGACTCAAAGCACTGTGCATATTATAATCACAAAACACTGAATATGTGATTGGCCCGAGATAGTGTATTACTGCATCCAAACACAGTGTATATACTACAGCTCAACGCTTCATGTGAGGGGGTGTTCAGGACCAGAATGAACACAGTTGTTTCAGTTCACACCTTTTATTGTGAATATTATATAAAAGACTTTGTGTTCCCTTGTTCTTTGTGGTGTGGGAGTGTGAGTGTGTGTGTGTGTGTGAGTGTGTGTGTGTGTGTGTGTGTGTGTGTGTGTGTGTGTGTGTACGCCTATTTATGGTTATTTTATCTTAATAATAAAAAGAGTGTAATAACGAAAGAGGAAATAAGAGCAATAGACTGCAAAATGGAGAATTAACTAATTCCAAGAAGGATCAAGAGAGACTGAAAGAAGCATTTTAGACAAACATACAAACGTAAAAATTTCTCCCCCCGTCCAGGCTGTCTGGTACATATACCCCTCTGGTCCTCAGACGCCAATCTCGAGTGGAGCCAATTATGGTGTTACGAGCAACTCTAATGACGGTCTGGAGCTTGCTGTACCCAGGAGGAACCTGCTGTATCCCAGGAGGAGCCTGCTGTATCACAGGAGGAACCTGCTGTATCCCTGGAGGAACCTGCTGTATCCCAGGAGGAACCTGCTGTACCCCAAAAGCCTGCTGTAGCCCAGGAGGAGCCTGCTGTATCACAGGAGGAACCTGCTGTATCCCAGGAGGAACCTGCTGTACCCCAACCTGCTGTATCCCAGCCTGCTGCCCCAGGGTAACCTGCCTGCTGCTATATCTAGGAAAGAGCCTGCTGTATCCTAGGAGGAACCTGCTGTGTCCCGGGAGGAGCCTGATGTATCACAGGAGGAACCTGCTGTATCCCAGGAGGAACCTGCTGTATCCCAGGAGGAACCTGCTGTACCCCAAAAGCCTGCTGAATCCCAGGAGGAGCCTGCTGTATCACAGGAGGAACCTGCTGTATCCCAGGAGGAGTCTGTTGTATCCCAGGAAGAGCCTTATGTATCCATGGGGGAGTCTGCTGTATCCCAGGAGGAGGCTGCTGTACCCCAGGAGGAGCCTGCTGTATCCAAGGGAGAGTCTGCTGTATCCCAGGAAGAGTCTTCTGTATCCCAGGAGGAGCCCGCTGAATCCCAGGAGTATCCTGCTGTATTCCAGGAGGAGGCTGCTGCATCCCAGGAGGAGCTTGCTGTATCCTGCTTGAGGGCTGCTTTATGGGGAGGATGCTGCTGTACCCAAAAGCCTGCTGCGCCTGGGAGGGAACCTGCTGTGTCCGGGAGGGGTGGGCATGCAGGAGAACCTGCTGTATCCCAGGAGGGACACACGCCCATCCCAGGAGCTGCGCTGTGCTCAAAGCCTGCTGGAATCCCAGGAGGAGCCTTCTGTACCCAAAATTACTGTATCCCAGGGAGCAACCCTGTGCCCCCAAAGCCTGCAGCATCTGGGAGACTTTGCATCCAGAATTTTGTATCCTGGGAGGAACTGCTGTATCCCAGGAGGAACCTGCTGTACCCCAAAAGCCTGCTGAATCCCAGGAGGAGCCTGCTGTATCACAGGAGGAACCTGCTGTATCCCAGGAGGAACCTGCTGTACCCCAAAAGCCTGCTGTTTCCCAGCAGGAGGAGCTTGCTGTATCCCAGGAGGAGCCTTCTGTATCCAAGGAGGAGCCTGCTGTACCCCATAAGCCTGCTGTATCCCAGGAGGAACCTGCTGTATCCCAGGAGGAGTCTGTTGTATCCCAGGAAGAGCCTTCTGTATCCATGGGGGAGTCTGCTGTATCCCAGGAGGAGACTGCTGTACCCCAGGAGGAGCCTGCTGTATCCAAGGGAGAGTCTGTTGTGTCCCAGGAAGAGTCTTCTGTATCCCAGGAGGAGCCCGCTGAATCCCAGGATTATCCTGCTGTATCCCAGGAGGAGGCTGCTGCATCCCAGGAGGAGCTTGCTGTATCCCTGTAGGAGCTTGCTGTATCCCAGGAAGAGCCTTATGTATCCTAGGAGCCTGCTGTATCTCAGGAGTATCCTGCTGTATCCCAGGAGCAGCCTGCTGTATCCCTGAAGGAATCTGCTGTATCACCTCTTGTACCTTCTATTTCCCAGCCGGAACTTGCTGTAGCCCAGCTGGAATATTTTTTATCCTACTTTTCACCACTGTGTTCCATGCGGTGTCTAGTTTATCCTGGCTCATACCTGCCATATTTGATCTGTACTTATATCCCAGCTATATACTGTTATGTCCCAGTTAAGAACTATTATGTCCAAACATGGGAATGCTATATACCAGTTGGTACCTGCTACATCCAAGCTAGCAATGCTGCATCACATCTGGGACGTCAACATTCCATCTAGGACCTTGGTATCCCAGTCAGGACGGACAATTTTACAGAAGGACACTTGCCATATTTCAGCTGGGACCTGCAATATTCCAGCTGTAGCCTCGCCCTCCATATCCGCTGCGTTACGCCAGCTCTGTAATAGGCAACAATAACAAACTTTGGCTATATTCGACTGTCTAGAACCTCTGTTCGACCTTCTTTTATTGCCTCAATCTTGAAGCTCCAACACCAACACATACACCGTCTTTTCGTGCTCCGTGGGAAATCTGCGTGTACGTTCTTCTCATGTTCTCGACTATTGCTTATTTTCTTAACTATTCGTATTGCTATTTATCATCGTTCTTTATTTTCTATTTATTTGAAAATGTTATTCTCCCTAGTTGCTTCCTTCACCAGAATCCTCTCAACAATTCCAAGGATCATCTCAAGTAAAATATAAGTTAGTTTGGAGATCGTAACGTTATCTCAAGTCTTTCAAGTAAGGGAAGGACAAGATGATTTTCTCCCATTCTTCATGTAGTTATCTACGGTATGTGTATCTGTTTTCCATATCCATTCTCTAGCTGTGAATATGATCTCGAATTCTCAAGGAGTGTGACCGTGTAGTGCAGGAGAGAAGTGTTTATTAGCGCAATCTTAACAAACATTGAACTCTTAAAGTACAGTAAAGAAAGAACTCGAATTATCAAAGATTTTGACCGTTCACTGAAGCAGAGAAACTCTGCCTTGTAAGATCTTATCACCTTTCTACGATTTAAGTGTAAAATTGGATGGGGTTTTCAGAGACTTAACCTCCAACTGGGGTACCTTGTGAGGACTGATCCACCATAAGAGTAACAATATGGATTTTTGTATGATCCTGATTACTCGCTGTAATGTCTTACATAAAGAATATGAGAAGATCAGATTGCCAAGGACTCTCTTCACCCACTGAAGTAGAATAAATTCCAGACTATCTCGTAAATGTCTCTTATATGGTTGCGTGTCCTCTTGGATTGATACAGTTGTGTTCTCTCCCAATACTGATATGAAGGGTAAACATACGGTAAACATCGAGGTCTTTCCTCTCTCCAGAGCGGAAGTAAACCTTTAGATTCTAATTAAGATCTTCTTATCACTGCTAGAACGGCTCCTTTGCCTATTGATTGACTTCTTGCTTATAGTATATCGACATACAACACTACTGGACGGATTGTGCAGGAAACCATTCGTCATAAAAGTGTCATTGAGGGATGTACAGTATTGGAGGAACGTCAGGCGTTGTTTTTGTTCAACATGGTTATGTTCTTGTGGTATAAGTCTTAAGTGATTTCTCCTGAGGCAATTATATCAGTCTTCAGTGACCCACCAGATACTCCAGCCGTTCCTTCTCACCCCGTGTCCAACTGGTCCCCTCTACGTCAACCCCTTCCACCTTTTCCATGTTCACAGCTGGTTCCCCAGTCTCTCCTGACCACTCCCTCGGCTAGTTCTCAGCTGGTTAACTCCCTCTCCCTAATCCCTCCTCCCCTTCTCTCCATCTTCCCCAGAGGAAACACGTGTGACTATCAGCCCCAATGATCTTAATGTTTAATCAATGGCTCTGCGTCACCACGTCGCTGCTGTTGTGTGTGCGTGTGTGTGTGCGCGCACGTGTTGAGGTGTGAATGAGGTTGATGGGTGAATGTAGATTTTTGAGAAATATAATTTGCTAGTAAAACTAAAATTGCTCGGCACAATATATAAAAAAAAACGCTCATCATGATACGAACTCATATTTGCACTGATAAACATGTAACAATATAAAAGGTACACGTAACGTAATTTAATCATATACTGGTGTTTAATATCAGCCGCCTGGAATACACGAGTGAGAGGGATTTAATAATTGAATCTTTTATAGCCATTTAATCCTTTCAAGCATAAAAAAAATGGAATTATTAGCCTGTATGGGTGACTCACTTAACCGACAGTGACTGGGGATTGCCTCGGGGTAGGGATACAAGGCTCATTCATCGGTCGTAAACACATTATAACAATTCATCGTAAAACACATATAAACGCAACAATCATTTAGTATAGTAATAAACAACACTTTTGCGTTCAGTCGAAAATCTCACCCTACAACGAGGCAGATTAAGACGAGAGAGCTGTGGTTGGTAATGTGTTCCATCCCCTCAGGTTCCCGTTAGTGTAGGTGTATGGAGCATAACAGCGGAAATAGCTGGTTTACTCGGTGATAAACTGAGGCAGCTTCTGAACACTGACCAAAACACGTGTGGGTGAACGAGTGCCTTAGTTAGCACGGTCTGAGGATTAGTCTGGGGCTTTTTGTTCAGGATAACACAAGTACGAATTCTTTTATCCGACCCTTAAACTTCCTTAACGTCAACGGGAAACCATTATCTTACCTTAAAATTTCCTTAACGTAAGTGAGAAACCCCTTATCCAATAGTAACTTTCCCTCAGATGGTTCTCTCATTGCTCGCTTATTTTATTTTAACGTTTAAAGAAAACATTCAAATTAGGGGATAAAAGCGGCCCCAAGACAAAATAATAATAACAATAATAAAACAGGTTAAAAAGACGTCGCCGATTTTTAACTTAAAAAAAATCTAAATAAATAAATGTTTTTACCCAGTTGTAATTCTTTTAAGCCTCCATATTATCTTTGACATTTTTATCTTTTATAAAATCTTCACCTTTGTGTGTCTGTGCGTGTGTGTGTGTGAACGCACACAGGGTGGTGAAATACGTTTAGTGCGGCAGCATTATGTTAGTGTTAAGGTGCAGGCACTGCTTGCTCCCTCTCGCTTTCAGCTACCGCCGCTGGCTAGCCCTCGTGACGAACAGGGAAGCAACTTGCATAAGTCCTCCCCTGCCAGTACACAGCCTCTTCACCATCAAGACTCCTGCTGTGCCTCCTCGTGGCAACACACGGTAACTGGGTGCCTCGTGGGCCCAGGCTAGACCAGCAGGGGATACCGGAGTAGCCGTGGCCCCAGGGAGATGGCGCATAGGCCCACTGGCATGTGGACACGTCCTGGTGTCTACCAACCATTGCCCCGCTACTTTGCGGATTAACATTGGTAGGTATAAGGCTACGGGAGTAAACCCTGAACGAAAAATCTGCGGTGGAGCCCCCGCACCAGGCAGGCGTGCTTACAGAGCTCCAACAAGACCCCAACGGCGGTATAGGCAGAAGAGGTGACCACCATAGTGTACTGATTGTTTATCAGACTACAGCTTACAGCCCAGAGAAATACAACACATATAACAGTAAGTAAACGCCCAAGTGGACACCCACAAAGGTTGAGACGCCCTACAGTGACAGTAAGACCTAACCCAGGAGAGGTCACGGACAAGGTATCCGAGTTAACCCGGCGTTATGGTCGTGTTACTCAAGAAACTACACCCGGAGAAGCTGTCCAGACCTGACCCAAGAGAGGTCAGTCTCATTGACCCAGAGTTCTCACCGCCACGCAATTAGCTTAACCCGGCGACATGACCGTGTTACTCAAAAGCTACCCTCCAAGAGCACACCTGTCACCTGACTAGAAACACCCAGATTAGTGACATCTTCCGGCTCACGCCAATAAAAAGGCCCTGCAAATCCCTCTCAAAGACATTAGCATTCGGATCATCATTGTAACAGGGAAGGGGCCGACAGCTCCTCCCCAGAGAGAGACTTCCCTCCCCAGCACCAGAGCTCCAGCTAGCAGAGTCTCCCACAGCAGACATAGTCCAGCAGCAGCTGCTGGGCCTCCCTCAGATCACACGTGAGTCATTGTCAGAGTGACCCAGGGGTGAGTTACTTACGGTGGAAAGTGTATCCATTTCATGTTTGTGTCCAAGAGTCAATG